CGTGCTACATAAGTCGCCGAATCCATACAAGCCGTGCATTCCCTTTCCGGACAGACTTAAGAACGAAAAGCAAGAGAAGCAGTTCCGGGATCTTTTCAGCATGCTCTCCAAGGTGAATGTCAACTTGTCACTCCTCGATGTGATAAAGAATATGCCATCTTATGGTAAGTTCCTTAAGGACTTGGTAACTAAGAAGAGGAGGTTTGAAGATGGAGAGAAGGTGGTCGTGTATGAGGTGGCAAGTGCTATGCAGCACGACCTGCCCAAGAAGGAACGTGACCCCGGTGGTTTCATTATCCAGATAGCCTTGAGGAACGTGAAGGTAGCTTCGGGGATGCTGACCTCGGAGCTGGAATCAATCTCATGCCCTTCTCGATTTTTAAAGGCTCGGCCTTGGGGATTTGAGGCCAACTCGCATGTGCCTCCAGTTAGCAGACCGTTCCATCAGGTATCCCAAGGGAGTAGTCGAGGATGTTCTCGTGAAGGTGGGTAAGCTTATCATTCCAGTGGACTTCGTTGTTCTAGATGTCGGGGATGTGTGTAATATCCCGTTATTTTATCAGTATAAATTATGTTTTAGTTCCGATATAATAATGTTATCGATTATTATTTTCGGAATTAATTATTTTCAGTCGAGATTACCGAAAATTATTTTCGACGTATCGTTTACGTTAGGAATAATTTTGGTAATTAAGCATTATGTTTAATTAAAGAATAAACATTAAAGAGGTGATTAATTATTAATTAATCACGTAATAAATCCAAGGTTAAGTCCTAATCGTGTGGTATTGCTTCCAAATAATTAAAATGCCGTACGCTATTGTGAGGCAATTTAGTGGATTTTGTCCAAACCTTTTCTTTATTAATAGGAATGTTAACGTGTCATTATGGGGATTTACTTGAGGATTAGTCATCTAAGTAAGTCTTGCCTCATTACAAGTGTCATTGGCTCATGAAATCTCCACATTAACTCATCCTTCACCTCCAAATTGCTTTCAAGCCGTGGCTATATAAAAAGGGGACTTAGACTAAATTTTCTTCACTCTTTTCGGCCTTACAGTTCCCCTCTAAGTTATACTAAGTTCAGTAATAGTTAGCTAGCAATTTTGCCTTAGTTCTTGTGTTTACACACGCACGGCAAGTAGCAGTGGAGGTACGGCAAGCATCACACGACAAGAAGTAGTTGGTATCGCACACGGACACGCTCACGCTAGGCCCCGATCAGTTGCGAGTTTCCGTCGAACACTTGAGGAGGTAAAGCCATCCTTAACTCATTTTCATGTTAATAAGTCCATTCTAAGTCGTAGTGTTCGACTTATATTCAAGAATTCATAGTTATACCATGTTAAGGTTCGATTATGCCTAGTTAAGTCGTGATCGAGTAACTTCTCGTTTTACCCGGCAACTCATGAACTATCCATGTTTAATTGATCAGTTTATTTCATTTTATATTCAGTTACTTGAGGTTGGTCGAGGTAAAATATCGTTTCAGCCCTGAATTGGTTCACAGCCGTCGGTAGCGCACATCGCGCGTGGCCACGGGCTACTTCACGTCATGTTATGTTACTTTCAGTTATGGTCAAGTTTGTCCGTGTGATTTATGTCTTGATAGCCTCAAAACGATGTTTCATGTTCAATTGGTCTTGAGTTGCCGAGGGAAAAGGTTGAGTCGGTCGAGAGACGGCCTATCGCCGTCGGCGGCGCCCGGCGCGCTCGCCACGGCCCATTCAGTTAATTGTGCGAAAAGTTATGTTTTCAAGTTATTTCATTGATCATGTTCATGTTGAGTCAGATTATGTTTATTGAGGTTAGAGTGCACGGGAGTTACTGCCGGACGGCC